AAGTCACGACTTGAAAATAATTATTCATTACGACGCAGTAGCTGCCAAAGGGTTTCGTGCGTTATGGTCACTTCGCTGAGCATTCAAATGATTGACGTGGTATTTCAAATTATGTATCCCACCTATGTAAGACTGTGAGAACAAATTTAGTGAACGGTCTTTCCAAAGTCCCTTACGTTGAGCGCTTAGAACGCCTAAACCTTCTCCACTTGTCGCATCGTAGGACGCGAGGTGACCTGACACTGGCACATCGCATCTTTAATTACGATTCAGGTATTGATATGTCCTATCTCTTAACTCCCTCCGGCACTAAGAATATCCGAGGTCATAGCGAGAAGTTTCACAAACCACGATCTGATAAACCTGAAGGTTCGGTTTTTCTAATATAGTGGTCAATGACTGGAATGACTTACCCGAACAGGTGGTTTCACCAGCACCAGTGAACATTTTTCAGGAGAAGCTGGACCTTTACCCGAAGGTAAAGTGTCAAGATTAAAACAGGTCCACCAACCTATTATTCTTATTACTGAAGACAGAGACCATTCAGCTGATGGTATCTATTGAAAATTATTTCGGATTAAAAGTGAGAAAGGATAGTGGTATTTTTCCTGAGTAATTTTCATAGTATTGTTCGTTAAATTACACATCAAGACTACTGTTCTTTCTTTCATTGAACTTTCTAGTAAAAGAAATCCTCAAGAGTGCGCATTTTGTCTGGTGAAGCTTATCACCTGTAATTCACGAGTGCAGATGCATAAAAACTAAAGGTGGTGGTACTTATTCTTCGTCGTTAAATATGGCTTTGAGCATTGTTTGTATCTATAGGTGTTAAGGTCTTTCTGTAACTAATGAAGTCCGATTTTTTCTGTTAATTTTCTAATTATATATAGACATGAATCAAATCTACGGCGCAAGTGAAACATCGTCGTGGTAGGCCAGCATGCTGTTTCTCGTTCGACGAATGGATGCAGTGTGACAACGGCAATAAGTGGTATCACAATGTGTGCACCGGACTCACAGCAGCTGCATATAAACGGTGCTGCAAGCCATTATCATGTTGGTTGTGTAAAGAATGTTATTTTAATAAGTGTCTGCTGATTCTAGAGGTGGTCGAACTGCTAAACATAGCTAGGAAATTGTCCTCTGATAAACAGGCAGCAGCAGGTGAAAAGAACTATTTTTTCAAGGAAACCGAGAGCGTTATTATGAGCCCAGCTCTAGACTTAAATGGGATCATAAAGGTGAGCCTTATCAGGGAAGCAGATAAGCATATGGATGTAGGCATTGTTACACGAAGGAAGAAGAAGCGCGCAGAGAAGAAGGAACTACCTATAGACATTACTGAGGCATGTGAATCTGCGGGTTCAGTTCCGGATTCACATATCAATGTAATACAAACTATGGGGGAGCCAAGTCTGAGCAGTGTAGAGGAAGTGATCAAGAGACAAAATAAGGTAAATGAGTGGCTCAGTCACACCTATGAAAAGAAAACTAAGAAAACAGGATGCTACGTATGCGTTTGACGCTGAATTAAAATCGGATTGCAAGGAAGAGACGGTTTCAGGAAACAAAATTCCACAGCGTGTCAAGACAGACCCCGCTGAGAGATCAGTTATTTTTCATAAGTTGAGAGAATCCTCCGATAAGGAATCAAAGGCTAGATTTGAGCACGACCTCAGCCATATTAAGTTCTTAATAAGCAAACTACTCGCAAATACAGTTTCAGGAGTTAGCATCTGTAAGGTTTATAGAATAGGACAAAAGATAGATTCTGAAAGTACTCAGAAAAGCTGCCTCTTGAAGGGTACCTTTGCTACGGTTGAAGAAAGAAACATGATACTAGGTAACTCCCGTAAACTGATCGGATCCGGAATATATATCTGTGAGGATCAGCCTAGCCGATCGTATTAGGAGACGAGCTGCAGAAGTAAAAATAAAGGAGCGCGCCGAAATGGTGAAAGAAACTTCGTTCTTAAGGGTTTCCATGTTGTTAAAGTTTCGAGAAAAACGATCTCCAAACCACTCTGGGTGGCAAGGGAAAGTTCCCCACAGATTTGAAGGTGTGCTACACAAATGCTCACAGCTTACTAAATAAAATGGTGGGGCTCAAGACAATGGTGGATAAAGAAAACACCGGACTCTATTGCTGTCTCAGAAACATGGGTAACATCAGACGTATTAGATAATGAATTCCAGTTGACTGCTTTCTTATCCAGTAGGGCTGATAGATTAGTCCGTTAGGGAGGCAGGGTTATTCTGTAAACGAAAAGTAACCTAACCATACCAGCAGTTGAGGCAGTAGCACATGATTTATGGATACGTGAACTGGTGTGATCGAAGCTGGAATGTAGACGGCAAGATATTGAATTAGCTGTAGCATATCGTGGTCCAGAATGTGTAGTAGATGATTTCCTCCTAAGCAAACTTAAGTCCTGGTGTATTAGGGGTAAAGGCCTTATAGTAGACGACTTTAATGCACCGTATATAAACTGGGGCAATTTAGAAGTAGGGTAATCGATAACGTCATTCGATTGCAAACTGTTAGAAACCTCAATTACTTTAGCTTTATTCCACTACATTAGAAATCCCACAAGATATGACTTAAGAACCTCCTCCTCTTCTCTTTTGGATTTCACACACGGTGATGACGCCAGTCAAATTAATTTTCTCCCACCACTAGGGAGGAGTGACCGTGCAGTCCTATTATTCAAATTCATGGCTGAGATTGCTTGTCAAACAGTTGCGCCGGCCCGTTCAAATATATGGAAGGCAGATATAGAGGCAATCAACTCCTCAGCATCAGCCGATGACTCGGAAATTGACTCGAGGGCTTCTGTACAAGAGGTATGGAATTATTTCAGGCAGTTATACAATCAGGCAACTCAACCATACATATCCTGGACAGTCCCAAGGAAGAAGAAAACACGGTCGTTTCTGGATAGCGTGGGCTATTCAACGTTTACTTAGACAAAAGAAGAAATGTTGGAGTGTTGCTATCAGCCTTGGTACAGCAGGTACGAAGGAACGCTGAAGATTGGTAAGAGACACGTTTATAACTAAAATTCGGGAAGCTCAAGGAAAATATGAAATGCACTTGGCACAATCTGCACTCAAACAGCCTAAGAGAATATTCACGTACATAAACTGCAGAACAAGGATGCATCATTGGATTCCCAACCTAATTAAAGAATGAAGTGAATCTGAAATAATAAAGGAAGATCGGGAAAAAGTAGATGTTATGACTAACTATTTGGAGGCAGTTTTCACTCAGGAACCTCCTCTAGACAAAGAACCGAATACAAATACATAGTCAACAAACCACCTGCTCACCGTGGACTTCGATGAAGACGATGTTCTCAAGGCTCTTAGCACCTTAAACATGGAAAGATCAACAGTACCAGATGAACTACACCCCAAAATCTTGAGACGTATTGCACAATATATCGCGGCTCCACTAACTGTGATATTCAACATATCGCTTGGCCTAGGTGTGCTACCTATGAACCAGAAGGACGCAACTGTCACTACCATACATAAAACAGGACCAAAACAAATTCCAACAACTTCACCGGCGTTGTAGTTAAAATATTGGAGAGAATAATGACATTTGTGGAAACAAAAAACCTGTTAAACGGCAAACAACATGGTTTTAGAAAGGATTTATGTTGTATAAAGAACCTCCTTACAGCAAGGGAATATTGGATAAAGGCTCTAGACAACGGAAATTCAGTGGCTGTATTCTACATAAACCTCAGTAAGGCTTTTGACAAGATGCCAACAAATAGACTGCTACTGAAGTTGGAAAATCTTGGTATTGCCGGATCTCTTTTAAAATAGCCTAGTAGGTCGTAGACAGAAAGTAAGAATAAATTCCATATGCTCTACCTGGAGACCAGTACTTAGTGGAGTACCTCAAGGTTCCGTCCTAGGTCCTTTACATTTTGTACTGTATTTAAATAATCTCCCAAGTATAGAACAGTCCTCAATGTTATTATACGCTGAAGATGTAAAAATCTGGCGCAGACACATGTGGACTTTAGGCAGACTTAAATAATATGATTAACTGATCTCAAGAGCGGCTGATGCCTATCAACGCAGCAAAGTGTGTCTACATGCACTTTGGGGATGTAAAGATTCATACGTACAGCATATGTAAAGTGTCTGTACCACTGGTCCGGTCTAATAAGGATCTTGGGGTGACAGCGAATCATGATCTTAAGACCACGGGTCATTGCCGAGAGGTCGCAGCTACGGGGATTAGAACCCCCTGGGCATTAAGATGGACATTCACATACACAACCTTGGTTAGAACTAAACTTGAGAACTGCGTTCAGGTTGCAATCCCCTGTTTGAAAGGTGACGCGAATATCCCGGAAAAAGTACAAAAAGCAGCTACACATGCAATTCCAGAGCTCCGGGGTTTACCATACAAAGAGCGGCAGAAAAACTGGACTTCTTTACTCTGTCCTACCTCAGACTAAGGGATAGTCTAATTTTGATGTATAGAACACCGATAAATGATTTTGGACCTAACTTATTCTTTCTTTTTCTTCCTACTAGATCGGGACATCTCAGAGGACATAGGAGGCGAGCTGAAAGGCCAAGAAAGAACAAAATACTTGTGTCATACAGGTTTTCTCACCGAGCTATAAATACTTGAAACCTGCTGCCCGAAGCAGTGATGTCCGCATCTTCAAATGATTCTTTCAAGAGAAGACCGGACACTCACAGAAGCATAATAGAAAGGAATAACATAGCCCATAGGGCTTCTATTCTTACTACACAAATCTGGATTTGAATTAGAGTCTGATCCAATGGTATTAAGTGCTACCGTATAAAGATAATAATTTTATCTTTCAACTCATAAAGAAAAAAATTGACTAGAATTTTCCATTACATTTTATTTAAGCTGTTGAACAACTCTATGTTGAATGGTGTTTAAATATACCTGTTTGTTTGTCTGCTTACCACTCAGCCGGTAGCCATTCGCCTTAGCCGCCATGAAACGGGACAACTCAGGAAACAACCAAGATGGTCCTCCGTCAAAATTCCAACGTTCTTCCGTTGATTTAACAAATGTTTCCATCAGATTTCTTATTCCTGGGAGGGCTGCAGGGATAATGATTGGGAAGGGTGGGGAAAATATCAAAAAAATTCGATCACAGGTTTGTTCTTTCATAATTCATTTAGTGACTTGCTCAATCGCTGTTTTGGCACCAACTGACTCGATTCTTTGTTTTATATTCTTTACGGTTCCTCCACCTTCCGGACACTTACTCGCTGAATCTGGTCAATCTCCTCTGATAACCCAATGGTTTGGGTTGGTACCACATGCCTGCCTTATTCTCAAACTGATGACTCTGGCTCACTGAAACCGGCCCTGCTTTATCCCATTTATTGTCTCAGTATAACGTCAAGCTGAATATTCCCGACAGCAGAGGCCCTGAACGGTAGGGTAACCCAGAAACTTAATGTCACCTTGATGTCTATTCGGTCGATTAATTAGTTTGCCTAAATTGTTATTTTCATGTTTTTGGTTCATTAATGTATTTGTAAAGCCCTTTTTGGATATGATTTGCAAAGTCATTCCTGACTGCTTAACTACCAGCTAACCCACGAGTTACTGTTGTAACTGGAAACCCCAGTGACTTAGTCATTCATTGAATTCTATTGTGTAAAAATCTAGACAAGTTTTGATGATAACCCTCAGACGGTTGTCTAGTTCTCCGAGCCCTCCACGACTGTCACTATATGGAAGGGTATCATGAGCTTCGTTGTACGATTAAAGTTTTTGTTTCCTTCCTTCTTTCCTATCCTAACTTGCTTTTTCTCCGATAGGATAATGACTATCGAAGGTGACCTGCAGGCTATCTGCAGCATCATGCGCGATGTTTGTCCGAAACTGAAGGTAAGGTGAACTTAATAAAATTGACTTCAAAGGATATAATGAATGCCAAACTTTCCGACCCTAAACGCATAATGGGTGCCCAAGGATCTCGACGCCGCCCGAGACGAAGTGAAGATCCAGAACGAGATGATGAGGAAGACGAAAACATGATTGACTTCAGAATATTAGTGCACGAAAGCCAAGCTGGGTCTGTAATCGGTCGAGGCGGTGAACGTATTAAGGACCTTCGTGATGTAAGTTTGTTGACGTTTGCTAACACATGAAATTTAGAAATACAAAATGCGTGTTATCAAGGTGTACCAGATGTTGGCTCCGTTATCTACTGACCGAGTTGTACAGATGGTTGCTGACCCAGACAATGTCGTCCAGTGTTTGAGAGCTGTGATAGAAGCAGTAGAGGTAAGTACATACGTTTAGCTCGGTCATTTCTGCCCCCCCCAATCGGCTCCCACAACCAAATCATTGATAACCACAAACCTGAGTCTGTTGTCCTATGGTTGTGCGCGAGTCGTACTGTCACGACCCTATCGACAACCAATTGCACTCCACACTTGCAGTGTCAGTAAGCAGTCATACTTCCAAGACTAAGAGTATTGACGAACGGTGTGTTGCACTAACATCTGAGTGTTGTGTCACGCCTTCGAGTGCATTGGCTGACCTTTTGTGGTATGGGTACATTCGCTGCATATAGTAGTACCAGTTGCTTGGTATTTATTGTGTTGTCTGTGTTCCTGACACAATATTGTGTTTTGTACTTTTCAGTCTGCTCCTCCTCGTGGTCGCCGTGAGGATTATGACGCTGCCAACTTCAGTGAGGGTGATGCTCTCAACTATGGCGGTTGGTTGTCTCGAGAAGCTGCAGCAGCACTCGCTCAAGGGATGCCTCTCCGTGGACCTGGGTGCATGCCGCCGATGGGTTATAACATGGGAGGTCCGTACATGATGGGTGGTGGAGACATGGGGCCGATGGGTGGCGGTATGGGCCCTATGGGAGGAGGGATGGGACCAGGTGGAGGAATGGGTCCTATGGGCGGTGGACCAGTTCCTGGAGGTCGTGGTAGAGGACCTCGCTCCGGTGGCGGAATGATGAGTGGAAGCGCGCCTCTCGCCCAAGGCCAGCGAGGAATGATGGGCTCTTCAGGCCCAGCACCTGTCCCCCCTCCTGCCGGTCGCAACAGCTCTATGGGTCCTCCAGGTGGTTATAGTAGTTCCGCAGACGGAGGCTACGGTGGTCAAGGTGGATATGACGGGTCAGGAGGATTCGACAACGGAGTATACGGAGGCATTGACCAAACTGGACAAGGAGGATTCAGCGGCCCTGGATACGGTGGATCAGGCAACATGGCTTCTGGAGGTTACGGTGGGTCTGGGTATGGTGGAAGCCAGCGTGGATCGGGTGACATGGCAGGTGGTCAAAGGTAAGTCATTTCATGTTATACTACGTAACGCAACACTAAACGATCAGAACTCGTGAAAATTTAAGTAGTTTATAGGAATTAGGATCCAGCTGTGTACCTCAGGGTTGACTACGTAAAAAGAACTCACCCCGAGCTGTTGTTCAACTTAGTTCGGAAATCATACACGCGGTAACAGCTGGGGGACCATCGTTGTTTTCGGGACCTCGTTCAACCGTCCGATGCTCCACTGTTGAATCAGCCGGTCTGTAACAATCCACTTAGTTGCTAAGAATAACCGCCCTAGGTTGTAAGGAGTACGCTTCACATTAATTTCTACAGAGCTGGGTTGCCTATATTGAAGTGCACCCACTGGCAATGCTAACTGTGAGTGGAGTTCCGAGAGGTATCAGGATTCGTCGTGGGCAGACAGACTACTTGTAGTGGGTCTGAAATTCAATCTTCGACTCACCCACATCGGTTCGGGCAACCGAGTGGTACCAATAGTCCTAACAAAAATGGTGTGGCTCAAGGCCCGCGACATGGTCCTGTATTACTAGTGTGTGTCGGACTGAAGCAGAGAAGGCGGTACTTGCCGTAACCTAGCTACTGCAGAGTTGGATTATTGTTTACTCCCTCGTTCCGAGATCACAATCTTTTCCTAACATATGTTTGTCTTCCTTGTAGTGCTTCCCGCGGCGGCACCTATGGTGGGTATGGAAGTATGGGATCTGGAGAGCATGTTGGAGGCAAAGCCAGCCAGTGGTATGGCGGATGGTCTTAAACACTTACTTGCATTTAATTTCAGTAAAATATACCTGTTAATAAATAACAATCACCTGTTGGTTCTTGATGACGTGTAGATGAGACTGAGTCCTTGGTTTGCGTGTTCATTGCAGTTAAACGAGTGCCGTTTTGCAGGTGTGTTTGATTTAAAGTTTATGAGGATGTCAGTCCGATCAGTAATCGAGGAAATGACGTTGCAGTTGTTATGAGCTTGTTCAATCCGCTCGTGAATATACGGTGGTAGGTCACCAACACGAAAGTAGAGTGGTCGGAGGCTACGTACAGTCTGTTCCTACTACATAGAGGCAGAGTGGTCTGGTTGTTCCGCCTAGATCTCGTTGCAACTGGCGGTTGGTGTCTATTGTGCGATGGGACATGGTACACAGAACGGGTACTCGTATATATATATAATCGTTTCCTATCATTATTTTGTTTGTAACATTTCCTATCCAGATTTAGGTATGGCTTGTTATTCGTTCATTTCTGACAGAAGATTTACCGAAGTATGTTTTATGATATATTAAGGTTGTGTGTTTGTACAAAGCAAGACGGGACTCAGTATTTTTCAACCTGAAAATCTGTTGGTGTTACGAATTGGCGGTGAGTTACGGTAATCCCCATAATGTAGAGACAGGAACATCAGTGGTTGCAATCCATTGCTTAATTGGCAGACCTACAGTTTTGGAACTAGGGTTAGGTCGCTTTCATTTTATTTACCTAGTCAGATGTGTAGAGACTTTATTCGGTAATGAACTTTACTTGTTTAGATAGAATGTTGATTAGTCGACAGTGAAACTAATAAATATCTACTTTCATAAAACTTATCAGTTGACGTGCTGAGTTCGCGATACTCTACAAGTGATTCTGTTTATACTGTGTTTTTCTTCACTCCACGCAAAAATTACTCAAAATATTTAAGAAGCACTGAACATGATTGTGAACTAAGTAAAATTTAGGCAATAAGCATGAATAACTAGTATATTTAAATCTTGAGCATTTGTCAGATTTCTACGAGTTCCTGACATGGTTATTGCAAATTAGCATCAGCTTAATCGTTTCTCTTTGCAATTCGACAACTACACTGCATACGATTGGTACTTCGAGGATATCACTTGTTGGATTCCTTGGCCACATACTTACCTATTTGATCAACATAGTCGTGAAATTCAAAAGTGAGCACTGTAACATTAATTACTAGTCTTATGTTGGGAGGGAGTATGTCGTCTGTTTGTATGAATATTATTCTGATTCTAAATTTTCTTAACATATACACTTGGCATAATAATATCGTTTAGCTGATCTCAGTGTGATCTAGAATTTCCTAGTATGATGAGTTGGTAGATATATAAGTGATTTTTAGAAAGTTATGAACAAACTCGATATCTTCGTTAGTCATCACTCATTATAATTAGCTATGATTAAAGCCTCAATCAGTTGTTTGACAACCTCACATTATCAAATATATTTTTGTTTTGTGGTCTCATTCGGTGAAGTGACCATATTTTCCAGTTAATTAAAAGCAAGTCAGCCAGTCATATGCACACAGAACTTGGTAATTATATATGCATTGGTTCAATTTGCCACACTGCAGTAACATGGGGAGATGAAATTACCAAAACAATCACAGTAGCAAAAATATCAGTAGTCGTAGAAATGATTAGGTATAAAAGTAAGGAAAAAAGATATACAGTGTTTCCATATAAAATGTGGATGGAGTATAGCATAGCACCATTAAGTCTATATTTATTCTAGAATCGATAAGAGGGTGAGTATGTGATCAGTTTATCCTTGAGCAATAGTGAGACATACCTAATCCTCTGTATGATAGTATCTTATAGCTTATAAATTAACAGGGTCTATCTCCTTATACTTGTTAAGGCATGTTATCAGCCCTTATTCACAAGGTTAGACTGGTCTAAAGAAACTATAAGTGTCATGTGGCATGTATATTTGTCTCTCTTATCAATAAATTCAGGCTGCTATATCTAAAAGGGGCTTGTCTGGACAGTCTAATGACTAAGTAATACAATTCCAAAATCATCTGAATTCATCAAATGTTATGTAGGAAAATCTTATCAATTGATGAAGTTCTTACTTTTAAAATGAATGAATTAAATGCGGATCTATTGGTGTGACCGCGTGCTAGCTCCTCACATGACAGAAATATCTACTCGATCACAAAGAACTAAGATCGAAAACACTAGGTGGAACAATAGTTTTCCTTTCTTATTAAATTATATACTTACACATAAATTATTAGCAGAAAAATAGACGCGATTCGATATCATAAGCGATTAAAGGAAATTAGTTTTGTCAACCCCTCACTTTTTAATCGATTAAATTCTGACTGACTCAATTCTTATGCATTAGTTCATTGAACATTAAAACGTGCTGATCACAAGGTATGTGTATTTAGTTTTATTTATAAAATATCCAACTTTATTTACAAGTTATGGTAGTGATATTGATAATCATTATTGACTAATCGGCCCAAATCCGCAGGAAAATCCCATAAGTTTATCCTGCATTATTGGCTGTTTTGTCTGAACAAGCTATGAAGTCCAATCGCTAAACAGTGTTTAATTTTTTTTTTACCTACATACCTGAATGCTGTCTGGTCATTGTGTAAATAAGAAATAGATACAATTTTTGTAAATATAAGTAGGAATGATTGTATTAGGCAGTACATTTAACTGAAGAACGGGTTCACAAATGTAGATTAGTGAACAAATGATGTATTACGTCAAATATCAGGTCAATAACAATAAAGATATTAAAAAAGTTTTTAAATCAACTAGTGTTCAACAAGTACCCATCACGACCGTGAGCAGTGGTGGGCAACGAAAGCAAAAGAGATGGAAAAGGCGGCGACTATAGGGAACACAAGACAGCTTTACAGACTAATAAAAGAAACTGGAATTAATAAGTCAAGTGTAAGTGAGATTATTTCGGAAAAAGACGACACCTCATCTGCTCCCAGTCCAGACGTTTAGAACGATGGGCGGAACATTTCAGAGAACAGTTCAGCTGGCCTTCAGCTACTCTACAACTACCCTCCATTCCCAGACGGTGAATGGAACATTGAAGTAGGTCCCCCAACTCTGCTGAAGTTCAAAAGGCTATAGTTAATCTGAAACGAGGAAGGGCAGCTGGTCCAGATGGATTGGCTCCAGAAGTCTTTAAGGATGGTGGTCCAATTTTAGCGATTAGGTTGACTAATATTTTAGCTAAGATCTGGGAGTTAGACGTTATCCCATCTGACTGGTCACAATCACTTATCGTCCCAATATATAAGAAAGGGTCAAAATCATCCTGTGACAACCACAGAGGGATTAGTTTAACTAATATAGTATCTAAAATACTAGCCTCGATAATTATCAGACGCCTAACTAAGACTCGTGAACTGCAAACACGAGAGAATCAAGCTGGCTTCAGACCTGGTCGTGGCTGCATCGACCACATATTCACCATTCGTCAGGTTCTAGAACACAGGCATACTTATCGGCGTCCGACAATGGTGGTCTTTCTTGACTTAAAAGCAGCATTTGACTCGGTAGACCGCGAGATTCTGTGGCAGTGTCTGTCATTGAAAGGCGTACCCAGAAGTACATAAACCTTGTAAAGGCTCTTTACTCGAACACTACTAGTCGAGTCAGAGCTTATGGCGAACTGTCATCTACCTTTGCAACCTCAAGTGGTGTCCGTCAAGGATGTCCACTTTCCCCATTTTTGTTTAACTTCATCATAGATCTACTGATGGAAATAACTTTCTCGTCGACTGAGTTCTCGGGTATTGATCTCCATCCAGGAGGTCCACTTATCGACTTAGAATACGCAGATGACATAGTCCTGTTTGGTGAAGACGCTGACAAAATGCAGAGTCTTTTGGTAGCACTGAGCAACAATGCCAGAATGTTTGGAATGCGCTTCTCTCCCTCTAAATGCAAGTTGTTGCTTCAGGACTGGTCTGCGTTAACACCTGAACTAAGGATAGGGAGTGAAGTAGTCGAACGCGTTGACAACTTCACTTATCTTGGAAGTCTGATCAGCCCTAATGGGTTGGTGCCTGACGAAATCTCAGCACGGATTCGAAAAGCTCGTTTGGCTTTTGCCAACTTACGTCACCTTTGGCGAAGGCGAGATATCCGTCTATCAATAAAAGGACGAGTATACTGCGCGGCAGTCCGTTCTGTTTTAATTTACGGCAGCGAAACATGGCCATTAAGAGTAGAAGACACTCGTAAGCTATTAGTATTTGACCACAGATGCCTTAGAAATATTGCTGGCGTCTGCTGGGATCACCGGGTAAGTAATAGTGAGGTTAGACGCAGGGTATTAGGGAATGATGGTAAATCAGTTGATGAGGTTGTGAATCTTCATCGACTGAGATGGTTGGGCCACGTGTTACGTATGCCTGAACACCGATTACCACGACGTGCAATGCTATCCGGTATTGGAGATGGTTGGAAGAAAGTTAGGGGCGGCCAAACCAAAACGTGGCATCAGTGCTTGAAGTCACTAACTTCTGGTATGAGCCATGTTGGTAGATGCAGACTACTTGGTTGGGGTCCGCGTGACTCGTAACCAATGGTTGGAGACTCTTGGTGACATGGCTCAGAATCGATCACAATGGCGTCGGTGTATACACTCTCTGTCTTCCCTTAAACTAAGAGATTAAAATCGCTTCATATCTTTCTTTCTACGAACTAATTCTTTCTTCCTGTACTATATCCTTATTGCAATCTTTCTTTTATATATTACCACCTCTGAATTAACTACTTTTATGAATCCGGTGTCATCTTGTTGTGTTAATGAGGTATGGCAACCTGGACCGATGCATATGTATGCCTGGTCCAACGTTGTAGCTGACTTACTCTATAGGTTAAGATTCAGTGGACGCCCAAATTAAAGATCAACGAGCTGGATTCCGTAAGGATAGATCATCCACAGATCAAATTGTGACACTACGGATCATCATTGAACAACCAGCTGAATGGAATTCGTCACTATACATCAACTTCCTTGGTTATGAGTAAGAATTTAACAGCGTAGACAGGAGAACCTTATGGTGTATCTGATAGGATCGTGAACATCATCCAGAATTCATACGACATACTACACTGCCAAGTTGTACATGGCAGGCAGCTCACGGATACGTTCCAAGAGAGGACCGTTGTCAGAAAAGGTTGCTTGTCTTCGCCTTTTCTATTTATTATGGTGGTTAACTGGATTATGAAGACCTTCACACCTCAAGGGAAGCGCGGAATACAATGGACGGCTTGGATGCAACTAGACGACTTTGAATTTGCTGATGACCTAGCTCTTCTATCCCATGCACGCCAACAAACGCAGGTGGAGACAGCCAGTGCAGCAACGGCCTGTGCATCAGTAGGCCTCAACATACATAAGGAAAGAAGCAAGATCCTGAAATAAAACACAAAGAACATCATTCCAATCACACTTGCCTGGGAAGCTGTGGAAGAGCTGCAAACTTCCACGTACCTGAACAACATCATCGATGAACAAGGGGATCTGATGAAGATGTAAAGGCAAGGATTGGCAAAGCAAGAGTGGCATTCCTACAATTGAAGAACATATGGAACTCAAAACAACCGTTAGATAACATCAAAGTCAGAATCTTCAAGACTATTCAAGAATCGTAAAGACAGTTCTAAAACTTGAAGAACTAATACAACAATAATCGAAAATATACAAGTATTTATAATTAGTTTTCTACACACGATACTCCAGATCTGTCTGTCGGATACCATCAGCAACAGCCTACTATGGGAGAGAACAAACCAGCTTCCAGTCGAATAAGAAATTGCGAAAAGACGCTAGAGGTAGGCAAGACATTTGTGGAAATCATTAGAACGCGACACGAAGCAAGCGACAACTTGGAATCCTGAAGAGAAAAGTAAGTGAGGAAGACCAAGGAACGCATTGCGTTCGGAATTGTAAGCTAACATCAAAGTGATGAATAGCAGCTGGGAACAACTGAAGAGGACTGCCCAGGACAAAGTTCTATGGAGAATCTTAATCAGCGGCCTATGTTCCACGAGGGTAACGGGCACAAGTAAGTAAGTGCTTAATAAATCTTCGTTTGTACCAGTCCTTGTATCTTTACTTCGCATTGTAAGATGTGCAGTGGTTCCTCTTTCTAATTATAGACAGTAGGACCGCGGATGGAACAGTGTTAACACGTAAAAAATAGAGGCGGTGCCAGATATAATACTTCAATTAGGATGTCATCAGCCCTGATGCATGAAAAATTGCTGTTATAAGTAAATAACGATACTCATTCATTTTTCTATCGAACGTCCCATCCTATTTTTAATTCCTCTTGTAATGTTTCCGAGTTATTTTCGAGCATCTTGAACAAACTATGTTTTGTTAGCAAGCAGTTATTACACCAAAAATTAATTAGTTACATTAAGTTGACTATTTCGAAATACAAATAATATAATAAATAGCCTGCAAGAGATTTAACGGTAACTAAATTACAAATTTAAATTTGTAAATTTAATCTCTGAACCATTGCAACAGATAGTTAGTGAAGTGACTTATCCGAGTAATTATTTATTATTATTTATTTAAACACATAAACATTGGTACAGGGAGGCACCAAGTAGATATGCGCCACATAAATCATTCGATTTGTGTGAGGGCTGTGATACTGCCCGGGTGCCCAAACCGAAGCAGGTGGTTTTCTTAGGGGGCCACACCCCGAGCCTTTGACCTAAAGGACTAACCCACAAGGCAGTGGAGCATCGTGAGGGGATGCAGTCCCATTTCAGCCGGTGACCAACGATTGGTTCATACGCCATTTGTTCCCACAGGATACTGGAGCCCATATGCAACATTGATTTGGTTTGGGACCCGGTTAAAGAGCATGACATTCGCTTTTCGTCCTCTCATTTTCGTAAACAACACCCCCGCCACGAGAAGGCAGTGAGTAGGACTTCCCTGGCAGAGGCTGTATACGCGTGGCTGTGTGAGGGTATTTCGAGAGGGCGGGCGAACCCACCCCACTCTCGGCCATACCAGGGCATTTGGGGGCCGAGTAATAGATGAACTATAATGTTATACACTTCTTTTTATCATCTTGAAGAAAGGAAGAATAAAAATTTTAGCAAAATAAAGTTTTTTATATCTGTCTACAACCTGTATTACTTAATATATATACCAACGTATTCCCTTTGATATTTTATAATCGCTTATCATATTTTTGTCAT